AATGAAGTTCTATATCCTGGGCTTACTATGCTTGATATTTTCTGGGTAGTAATGGCCGAAAATAGAATCGAATATGGAAATCTTGAAGGAAGCCCTGCATGCTCTCTCCCAGATGGGAAATTCTCCTTGAGAAAAGAAAAGAAAAGACTATTATATATCGAATAAATGTCAGATTTGCACTTCAATTTGCCTGAGATGATCATAATACGAAACAATTTGCGGAATAAATTGTATCATTCACCAAAGAAATAGAATGAATCAAATCGATTCAAGTCACATTCTTTTCCCGTCAGGAGTGCCATCAATAAACGAGAAGTTTCGTGAAGAAAACATAAACATTCATAAGTGAATGTATTGAGATTTACCAATTTGTATATACCAGGTTGGGTCGTGATTACGATTTGCGAATTATCTAAATTCTTCCCTGTATGAGGATGCTGTCACTGCGCATAAAACTGTACACGTGCTCTTTACTTAGCAATGTACGTTAACAAAGAACGCTTTGTCAAAGTGCGTTTCACAAAGGCGTTAATCCGCTAACCATTGCAATCTAAAATCAATCCTTCAATAATATATATATGAAACCCTGCACACAACAGGATAAAATCCTTTCTTTCATTTTTCAAATTGCTGTCTTTGGGATTTTGGTAATGTTTTGGATCTTAGCTTTACACGTTCATTTGCGTTTTTGTAATTCTTGAAGATTGTGTTATTATCTAGTGGTTTAATTACCCGAGTTTAAGTCTTTTTTCCTTCTTTTTTCCTTTTTTTGAAGATACCAAACAAAATCCTGCACTTCTGGTGTCATGTTATACAAACTACTTAGAAAATACAAGCTTTTCCACTTTAAGCCAGATTAACAAGAAAGATGTGGTATCCTCCAGTTTAGTTGATCAACATGTGAAATTTTCCCAGATCATAATTGCCTTTCCCCTTCGCTAAGCATTATATCACGCAGACAAGGGATTACTTCTAAAACTAATTCGAAATATTTTGTAGACTTTGTCTTCAAGATTCTGCATATTTCTTATGAACCGTTTAGTAACGATCTTTCATATCAAATCCTCATGTCTTTAATTTATCATTATGACTTGTTTTTTTTTGGAAAATATAAAGCACATGATGAACAAAATGATAATACAAACAAATACCATCCACATTCATCCTTTATATTCCACATCAGATGAAATTAAAACTCTCTTAAAAAAGAAAGATAATTAAAGAAAGTAAACCGGGCTGTGATACACTTTACAGTATATACCGTAGTTATCAGCATAAGAAATCAAAACATAAAACATTCCTTTCATAACGGCACCTTGAGCAACTTCCTGTAATTTAAACTTCTTTCAATAATTAAACATCACGAGCGAAGGCAAGGAAAAAAGATGCATATCATAATGAAAAGAAATGAAACCAGTTTAAAAGCATAAGGGCGAATTTGATTACAAACAAAACATGATAGAATATAATGCCAAATGCATGTTGCAACAGAAGTTACCATAAGATGAAGTCACAACGTGCAAGATGCAAGACGCCTACGGGTAGTTATGCTATTAAAGATCGAGGACGATTGGAATTTAAAGACAATTCGGATAATCATAAAACTATCTTACGTTATGTCGAAAATCCGACATGTGCCAGCATATCAATAGGGTTACATGGATTAATAAATGAAAAATTTTCATTTCTGCGTCAGTCGCGCATAGTTTAAAGCAATTTGTTGGTGCTAATGCATTCTTGTAACTCTAATAAACATTTAAGGAAAGTTAAAATGTCATCCTCGTTATTTTATTCTCGAAATTATATTTTCGTTTGGAATATTATGAATTCGGAATTCGAGTACTGATAAATCTCGAGTCGATTAAAACTGAAATCTTAAGTTTTCGCCAGATCTAAAAGTGTTAATGGCTAACCATTGAACAAAGGAGTATATAGGTTACAAGAAACAGTGCATTTGACAGCGTAACACAATATATAATACAAAGAAGGATCCCGTGCGCAATCCATTTAACTGGTGAACACCATTTTTATAACGATTTATAACGAATTATTCGAAGTAAACAAGAAACAATGGACAATGGACAATGAGTGATGAGTTCGAATCTTGAAACTTCAATGAATGTAGCGTTTAGGTTGTGTTGCTGGCATCATTTTATCAAGAAAACAATTCCGTACTTTGAACGGTTTTCAAAATTCAATTTCCATGGAAAATTTGAATTTAATGAACGTGCAATTTTAATTTATGTTCATGAAAATCAGGTTTTTTTTTCTTTCAGAAGGAGAACAAGTGATATTATCATTCACATACACTTCGATAAAAAGGTTGCTTCGTGATTTGCCAAACGTTTTACAAAAATAAAAAGTGAAGTTCAGATTTAAATTACACATGAAACAATAAAACTAAGAAAGTAAACAACTGAACCCGTATTATGAGACGCGATTTGAAAAATTACAAAATGTAAGTACTAAAAGGACTTTGCACCATGTACTAAATATTATTTCCGATTTCCATTTTCCTTCAAGGTGGATAAAAACTGGCTAGTCACAACTTAAAAAAAAATAACGCTTTGAAAAGCAAACCGTAACTTAGTTCGCAGTGAAATGAATTATAAAGCACTAGTTTGAAAATTTGAATACCATCAAGGGTTTCAATTATTTACTGGTGCGAATCAGTGTGATTAAGAATGTCAAAAATTCATTTCACATTTCAATAATACTAGAGTTGGTGTAAGTTTTCTGCATCCAAATGCATATCTTCCGGAGAAGTCATCAATAAAAAAAAAAAAACCCGAATAAATCAAGTAAGTAAAATCGAAAACTTTCAAAATTTGAGAAAAACTGAATCAATTGGCAATATGGCATAAATATTAATAAATATTAAATATAAATATTAAAGTTTGGAACTGACTGATTTGTACGGTTTCCTTGAAGAAAATTAGCAAATAATTATTCAAATTCCGGTCCAAAATCAGGAATACGAATGTCATTGTATCCTTTTAGCCAGTATGTTATCTGCTTTCCCTTACCCTTCATTTCCACCTCACCGCGAAGTACCAAATTGAATCCTGGATCCTCCTTTTCCAATATGGTTTTTGTATGGCTACTCACGTGGATCCGAAGTGCTACAAATTTTTTCCTTTTCTTTTTGTATATATAAATATAAAAACTAAATCTATATAAATAAAAGTGTAAATCCGTCTGTTCCCAATCTCAAATGTCCAAATTTTTCACCGACTTCTTTGAAATTTGGCACAACACTGCATTTGAATACATGTGTGTTTTTATATAGCTATTATATAGATGTCACACCTGTGACATGAACAAACATGCTTATATATATATATATATATATATATATATATATATATATATATATATATA